TTAGCGTCATTCTATAACAAATATCTTAACAATTTTCTAAATAACTTTTTTTTAAAAAGATTACCAATTTTAAACAGGACCAAAGATTAACATAGTTTTGATTCCGATACTAATTCTATTAGAACAATGATAAAATGAATATGGCAACGCTGCTAGTCTATGAAGCCCGTGGTTAAAAGGGTAGCTGCTTTTAGTTAAATTTGTTAATTCCTGTGTCGAAAAATAGTTATTTTTGAAGAGGTGCGAAATTATTGTGATCGTCTTAGTTTGTTGTTGAGGCGTTGTTAGGTTTTTGTTTAATTTAGTTTTTAGTTAATTTATGAAATGAAAAATTCAGGAAGGCAAAAATGCTAGCACAGCTGACACATTTCTATTTTAATTGTTTGCTGCCAGAGTTAGTAGATCCTAGAGAAATACGACATGTGCCAATTAGGGAAAAGAGATTGTCAAGAATTTTGCTCGCTTAAAAAAAATGTGTAATATACAGGGTGTTTCTAAATTTATGCGACAAAATTCAGTAGGTGATTGCTTGTATGAAATTAAGATGGGTCTTTGGTATAACAAAATTTCCTCAGCCCTCCCCTTTTCGAGATATCACCCTTAAAAGGTGGTGACTAAAATTGAGTTTTTATTTTTTTTCTAAAATTTCAGTAAAGCTAAAAACTTGAAATTCTGTAATTTTCATGCACTCGCAAAGGACTAACCACGGGTATTTTTTCAAAATTCCTGTTACATTATAGGGGGTGAAATTAGCAACACTTACCTTATTTCATATCAAATTTTTTTTTTTATTTTTTTTTATTCTTGAATTTTCTTCCCAAAACCAATAGCTTCAGAAAAAAAAAATAAAAACACTAATTTATCATTTTTTAAAAAAAATGTGGAAAACAATATTTTTTTTCTATGAAGCTATTGGTTTTGGGAAAAAAATTAAAAAAAAATTAACAGGTTTAACAAGGATTTCAAGTTATAAAATTATTTCATAAAACTTCATCTCATTTCAAGTTTCTAGCGTTACTGAAATTTTAGAAAAAAAAAATAAAAACTTAATTTTAGTCACCACCTCTTAAGGGTCATATCTCGGAAAGGGGTGGGCTGAGGAAATTTTGTTATAGGAAAGACCCATCTTAATTTCATACGAGCAATCACCTCCTGAATTTTGTCGCATAAATTTTGAAACACCCTAAATGTTGGTATATTCAGGTGAATGCTGCAGCCTTTATAATTTTCGGACAAGGATATTTTAAAAAGTAATTTTGTTAAAAATTTAAAATTTTGGCAAAATAAATTAGGTAATATTAACTAGATATGTCTATATTTTAAAGTTTTAATTCCTTTAAGTTTCCGATAAAAAAAAAATCAAATATGATAATGAAAATAAATGCATTCCTGAACAGCACTATTCTTAATATAATCCCGAAATTTAAACTCCTAATGTCTTGGTAATGATTTTTTAAAATTCGCCAAAATTAGTGGCTAAAAAGCCTCGTTAAGTGCTGCCTTCTGGTGTAACGCGCCTGTAACTATCGTATCGTACACTCGTTTCTTGCAACGATTTACGCCAGTTTACACCAGAAGATAGCACTTAACGAGGCGTTTTAGCCACTAATTTTGGCGAATTTTAAGAAATCATTAACAAGATATTAGGAGCTTAAATTTGGGAATTATATTAAGAATAGTGCTGTCGAGGAATGCACTTATTTTCATTAGGATATTTCAAAATTAAAGCCCTTTTAGTTTTTTTTTTTTTAGGAAACTGGAAGGAATTAAAACATTAAAATATATGCATATTCTAGATATTATTGCCTAATTTATTTTGCCAAAATTTAAATATTTTGAGATATTCTTGTGCGAAAATTATAAGGGATGTGATCACCTTAAGATTGAAAGTGAATTAGCTTTAATTCATGAGATGCAAAGCATCACAATTGTCGCGTCACAAAAACTACCTGCTGCCAAGGGAAAATTTTAATTCAATAGTATTGTATATTTTGTGTTGTAAAAGAGAAAAAAAAATGAACATTTCGTGTTTTAATAGTTATTTTTTTAATTTAATAATCTATGTGAAAAAAAAAATTTATATAGACGTTAAAAAACTGTTATGTTAATATACTTAGTTAATTGTACTTAAATTTTTTGTTCGTTTAATACAATAAATACAATCTCCAATTCATCACTTTCCGTATCCATATACCTAGGGTCCGATTACAATTAGAAGAACACCGCTACGTCATAACTATTATTTCGAATTTCCAATACACAGGGTGTCCCGAAATTAGACGGTCATATTTTAACAGTGTAATCTACATCCTACAAGTATTAGAACTTAAAAATTAAAAAAAAACCGACTTCAAAAACGTGCAGATACTTTTACCACATATTAACCAAATTTATATGGGACCACCCCTGAGGTACCCCCTTACTAACAAAAAAATAATAATATAAATCGGACGAGGTGGTAAAGCATTATCGCTAAACATACATAAAAAATGAAGAGTTTGAGAATTTTCTTATGGATCCAATTATTAGAATTTGACCAAATTTATATGGGACCACCCCTGAAGTACCCCCTTTCTAACAAAAAAGAATTATTGAAATCGGACACCGTGTTAAAGAATTATCGCTGAACATACATAAAAAAAAAATTTAAAAATATTGCGACGAATTGAGAACCTCCTCCTCCTTTTGAAGAGATTTAGCGTGTTACAAGTGAAGTCCAGATAGCACATTTTTGTAAATATTTTCCAAAATTTCTTTAATTACCGGTTTTCCAAAGTTAAAAAAAATAGAATTTCTGATTCTACAAACCTACTAATTATTGTTTACACTTTCGAATAAGATAACATGCTTTTCTCTTGAAAATGGCGCGTCCTAGCGAGATGCAACAAATGTAGCTTTATTATAAAGAAAATATTGGTTTTCCAAATTTTATAGTCAAAAATGTCAAAAACTATCAACAAAAAAAACTTAGGCTCTCCATAATTTACCCACCTATGAAGATGATCAAAAACTGGGGTTTAGTTCAATAAATAGATCGTAAAAAGGTAAGTATTTGTACCAAATTTTACCTAATTATCTTTAAACGTTTAGAAAATATTTACAAAAGTGTGGTATCAGGATTTCACCCTTAACACCCTGTATTTCGAAAAACAAACGTTTTCGGACCTATGTTCATATGAACTTTTACTACTATTTTAGTATGTAGATTACGCTGTTAAAATATTACCGTCTAATTTTGGGACAACCTGTATATCATCTATAACTATCAATAAAAAATATTTGAGTTGTTTGGTTTAAAAATAGTATTCCTACATTCCTATAATATTAACAAGCCACTAAACACCCAGCAGGCGGCGATAGCCAACGAATTACTTCGCCAATTGATGATATACCTGTGTTCATGTAATTGTAATCGGACCCTACCCAATCCTATGATTATTCTTCAGTGCACGATACACGACATTGCCAAATTTATGTAGCGAACAAGGTTCCAAATACTTTAAGGGGAGGTCGTTAGATCCGTGCGGTGTGACGTCAGAAGGGACTGGATTGCTCTTAAGTTTTAATATGTTTCACCACATGCGTTTTTTCGGCAGGATTAGCTGGAAACCTACAAAAAACAAAAATTATTGATTTATCATCTTCAACATTATCATGATAAAATGACTTAAAAACAAAAAGATTGTTTATATTGAAAAATTATGATTATTTTTTTAACTTTTCAGAAGATTCCAAAATCAAAAACAATACATAATACAAGATCTTTAAATTTAATTCACTAAATTTACGATTTATTTTAAATTCATGTTTAACGGCCTTTTGCATAAAATATAGGTACTATGTTTCTTTTAAAAAAATGGTAGAGACGCTAATGGTTACTTACTTGTGAAATGCCCTTGACGATGACTTTTCTTATTTCCATTTACAACTTACACAAACTCTCACCATTGTTAAAATTTGTATCAGCAAAGTAATAAAATACAAAAAACAAAAATAAGTAGAAATTAATGAAAATCACAAATCAAATGACAGTTCTGACAATTTTGAACGATTTGACATGCCACGCAAAACTAGGGTTGCCACATTTCCGGAAGTGAAAAGCGTAGCAACCGTGACGATAGAGCATTTTTATATAATCAGATCCAAATTTTGTGACCATTTCTAAAAAAAAGTCCTGGATTTATTTTTCGTAAAACGAGTAGGTATATCATTCTTAAATAATCAGATCCATTTTTTGTGAACATTTCTAAAAAAAAGGTCCTCAGCTTATTTTTTCCTAAAACAAGTCGAACATTTTTATATAATCAAGTCCTTTTTTCTGAACATTTCTTAACTTAGTTTTTATATAAACAGATCCATGGGCCTTAACTTATTTTGTATATAATCGGGTCCATAAAAAAAAAGGTCGTCCACTTATTTTTCGTACAAACGAGGGTCTTTTACCCGGTCTATTTTTGTATAAATCCGATTCCTCTGCGGCTTTTAAAAAGCGTGGAATTTGCATAAAAAGCGTGCAGGAAAGTCAAAAATCCTGGCTGCCACGCCAAAAGCGTGACGTCTGGCAACCCTACGCAAAACGAAACAGACCAATGGGAATGCTGGACACTATTTTTTCCTCCTGTACCAAACAAATGCTGTTGAATGCGGACTCTATGAAATATATATGTTTGAAGGTGTTCACTGCATGAATGAACCAATGGAGAAACCGCCCCTGATGCGTAGGATCATCATTGCTAAATTGATATATCAAATCAAACAATAAATAAAATAAAAAAGGTTGTTCCTTTTACAAAAATGACTGGTTGTGTTGTTATGGAGCACCCTGTATAGTCAAATTTATTTTAGAAATGTAGCTTTCTTTGGTGCTGTATGAATTGAATTTTTTTCTAAATCTTCCGAGCGATATGTGTTTTCGAAATAAGGAATTCAAGATGCGCGCTTCCCATTCCGAACTGCACTTCGGCTGGCGGTATAATAAGTTTTGTGATGTTTCCGTTAGAAATACCGCCACGCTGATAATATACAGGTCTGGCGACCGACCACCTACAGATACTATAGATTCTTGGATCACAATACAAAAATATTTAAAAATAATAACCGCGACAAAAATAGCAGTCAACGTTTTGTCGGTCGGTTCGGCCTGGCGAAAAGGACGAAACAGAAACAACAAATTTTCCGAGAGTCGATCACAGCCAGTGGAAAGTCGGTGCGCGAACGTAGTTTGGCTTTTCCGCGCGTTTCCCCGTTCGTATTCAGTGTCCGTATTAAACTAGTGCAGTAGAGGGTGTTATCGTTACGAAAGTGCTCCCTTTATATGGATCTAATGCGGTATTACCAAAGGTGACGCAAATGTTCAAGGTAACCCATCGACCTATTTCATTATTTAACTGAATTACCATCGAAGATTCGCTGTAAGGTTTTATCTCGTTTCAAAACCACCCTATACGCTTTAAATCTTTCTTGTTTTAATAAATAATAAACTTGGATCGTAACAAAGAAAGTTGCGCTTGTCGGTGAGGGTGGTTGTATATTTTATTATTCTTATGGGACAAATCAATTTCTGAGAGTAAAAAAGTTGCCAGGCCATTGATTAAATTTATAAATACAACAAGGTTTTTACTATATTGATTATTATAGTTCGCTGCTAAAAGAAAAATCCACGTAATTATATTACATTACATCAAAGTGTAGAATTCTGTTGCTATTTTATAATATGGTTTTATTTTCATTTTATTGATTTGCCGTTAATTTCAAATTGTGCAAACAGATCTAAAACTTTCTAAAAGTTTCAATTGATTTTTCACTTTTTTATTTTGAATGCATTCAGATTCAAGAAAATAATTAATAACATAAAAAAATAATTACAGAGGAAAGTTCCACAATTGTACAAAAAAAAAAAAAAAAAAAATAGTAGTATGAAACCCATTGAAAAACAAAGAGAATATGAAAAAAATAAAAGAAAAAATAATTTACGGGCGATCTGAAGTCGGGAAGTGAAAGGGTAAAAAACGGTTTATCTTGATTTCCGGCAAAACTACTATGAAAAAAAAAATAAAAGGCAAAGTGGTAGGTAATAAAAAGATCTACCACTTTTGTATTTACACTTTTTTCACATAACCTCAAAATTTATGTGAAATGTTCAAATAACCAAGTATTTGGTTTTTTATTTTTATCTTTTAGAAAAAAATTTTTTTTTCGTAAAATTTGGTGAAAACTTGCTTTTTTTATGTCCCCAAAAACTGTAATTCTTTGATTTAAAATATTTATTTTTTCACCTTATTTTGACTTATATCGAAAAAGTACAATAATGTTCAATCGAAAATTCTTCAGTCAAAATATCTGCTTTTTTAAAAAGCTTTTTGTTCCTAGAAATCTATACTTTCTGATGGTGTAAAAAATAAATATATATATATATATATATATATATATATATATATATATATATATATATATATATATATATATATATATATATATATATATATATATATGCGTAGCGGTTGTTTCGAGGAACTTTTTTGGTACCTTGCGGTCACTTTGAGGAATCCTTGGTCATTTTGAGGAAGTCTTCAAAATGCCGTATATATGTACATGTATATATCGGGTAGTTTGAGGAATATAAATAAGTGTTAATCGGATATTTTGGTAGTCACAATAAAGAGCCTAACCCTAAATTTTTTTATTTTTAAAGTTGGAACCATATGGAAAACTTTTTTATTATTGGTTTTGTAAAAAAAATATTCTTGATACTTTCGTCATCTCTATACAGAAAGGAAAGTAAAAATGCAGTATTTTCTTAAGCAACCCATTAGCAGTATATTTATAAACATGTTTTATTTATTAAAAAAAACTTTTATTCGTTAAATAGATGGATAAAGGTCGACCTTACTTTGGATCATGTACTAAAATAAATATCAACAAAATTACGGTTGCGTCTATAGAATTTTTGAAAATTATTAGAATTCACAAGTCGTAGGGTAACTTTGCGCCCGTAGACCAATACTTGCAACATATAAAATTCAGTAGATGAAAGATGCTATAATTTGCCATAAGCATACTGCCGGGTTCTTTTTCTGCACTGAATAGGGTATATACGATTTCGAGACGTCCATTAAAAAAAATTGTATTTTATGAACTGTATCACAGTTAACAAAAATTTATTAAAAAAAGATTAAGTTGAAAGTAATTAAAAAACAAATAAAATTCGGTTTAGTGCCAGTTCAGAAACAAAACGTAGCAGTACATATTTGATTATAATATGGAATGATCTTTCAAAATTCACCCATTTTTGTCCACTATTTTCTACGTTTTTTGTGGATTACACTTTATTTGACGTAGTACAAATAAAAGAGACATGGAGTGCCAGGATATTTAACTCTTGGCTAAATGAACAACACCCATATTGGATATCTTTTTTCCTTTTAAGTGTTAGGTAAGATTTAATTCCGAACTATGGAGTGCCAGGATATTTAACTCTTGGCTGAATGGATAACAGCATATTCCAGATTGGTTTGATTAAGGACGTACTGTGTAACTTCCAAAAAATGGTGACTTTTCAGTAAAGGCCAATAACACATCCTACAAACCATTCACACGTTTCCTATAACTCTTGAAACAGTAGATCGAGTCTACAGCCAGTTCAACGATCAAGGTGGACCTAAGAAATGCATAGATGGCTGCCAAGAGAACACACTGATAGAACTAATACATAGATAGCCAGGCGGTATGAGCGAAACCTGTTCATGGCCTGGATCGACTATCGTAAGGTGTTCGACAAAACTTCATACGAGCTAATCGCATAGTTGTTGAAAAACCTCTCGATGCCAAAATCTATAAAGGGATGCATACAACAACTGATGCCGCTCTGAGAAACTCGCTTTTCCATAACATCCAGAAACGCGAATGTCGAAACAGGATTAGTTAGTGTCATTCAGAAGAAAAGTATTTCAGGGAGACTAATAAAGTCCCATTTTATTTTGCATCTCTTCAATGCCATTATCTGTAGCACTACGAAAAACTCATGAATATGTATATGACCCACCTAGAAAATCGAAGAAATAACGTTAACTAACTGTTGGACGACTTAAAGCTTTATGCATCCAACGAGAGATAACTCAAAAAATCTTTAATTATATCGTTAGGAATGATATTGGTACTAAGTTCGCATCGAACAAATAATATAATATTTGATACGATAATATATGATACACTACCGTAGTCAATAAATTTAGTCGATATGATGTGATAAATGATGTGATATATGAAATGATATATATATTATAATATAATATAATATAATATAATATAATATAATATAATATAATATAATATAATATAATATAATATAATATAATATAATATAATATAATATAATATAATATAATATAATATAATATAATATAATATAATATAATATAATATAATATAATATAATATAATATAATATAATATAATATAATATAATATAATATAATATAATATAATATAATATAATATAATATAATATAATATAATATAATATAATATAATATAATATAATATAATATAATATAATATAATATAATATAATATAATATAATATAATATAATATAATATAATATAATATAATATAATATAATATAATACAATACAATACAATACAATACAATACAATACAATACAATACAATACAATACAATACAATACAATACAATACAATACAATACAATACAATACAATACAATACAATACAATACAATACAATACAATACAATACAATACAATACAATACAATACAATACAATACAATACAATACAATACAATACAATACAATACAATACAATACAATACAATACAATACAATACAATATAATATAATATAATACAATACAATACAATACAATACAATACAATATAGTTGAAAGCTGAAATACACATAAACTGCCACTTTGTACAAAACTCCCTGTAGAAAAATGATTAATTTAACTATGATTTTGATATTTTAAAACAACAATCTCAACAAATTTATTTTTACTAGTTAATCTATGTTCCTATGACTAGTTTTTTTTTTGTAAGGAATACATTTTTTAATTGCTTCCTTCTGCAGATTTTACAATCAAAATACTGTCAAATTATTTGATACTTTTTATATATTCTGCAATGCAAATAGGTACGAAAACTAAATTTTGTTTATAAGTTTACATAATATAATATAGGTACTGATTTGTCTTAACTCCAATATACAGGTAAACTGAAACTGAAGTAAAATTAAATAAAAATGTACCTTGTGATGACAGTGATGTTGTTTATTATTATAATCTTTTAAAAATTAAAATAATCAAATATACCAATTTTGATAATACAGGTCTGCACTTACAACAGAAACTCACAACGAATGTCTAATTTTGTTATGTAAATATTAGAATATTGAAATAATTAAGTCTTTTAAAAATACTACTGGTCATCACTGGATTGCCTACCTACTGGAGAAGAACCACTGACGTGTAATTTTTATGACCTCAAAGGTGGTGTTGAATAGTGAAAGCATTATTTCAATGAATAAGAGTTTTATGAAAATGATAACAAAAACGTGCATAAGAAATTTATTTTGGTAAAACTACTAGTAACAATTTGAAAACCCTCTAAGATACGACTATATTCAATATCAAATCAAATCAAATATATTACGTACCAGATTACAAGTTTTTTTTTTATCCATGGAGGGGATCGTACCTAGGCATATATGCCTGTCTTGTGTGATCCCTTCCATAAAAAAAATACAATAATAAATTGTTTTAAAAGTACAAAAAAAAAATTAAAAAGAAAAACGACTCAGTAATAGGAGTAATAGGAAACTAAAGCAAGACAGGTCCAAAAAGTGAGATAGGTTTAAAACTTTCTCCTGTAGTATAGTTAAACAGAAGTTAACGCTAAAAAATTGTAAAAAATACTTGAAAAGACACCAGAAATAATGTACGTTATTTGCAGTTTTATTTAAAATATTTCAAACATATCTGGGGAAGTTTGGATCAATTCCTTGATTTCAGTTTTAAATTTAGTTAATTTAGTTATTTGTTTCGTTGATAAAGGGAGAAGATTAAACAATTTGGGGCCAAAATAAAAGAAAGATCTTTATTAGATATTCGTAAATATGTTCTTAAAACAATGAAAAATATACAAACATTGCAAATTAAATAAAACTTGTTTAAATTCTTATTTTACTATATCAAAATCATACTTGATTTGACAGATTAATTATTTCTCTACAGGAGTTTTGTAAAAAAAATTGCAATTTTTGTATTTCAACATTTTTTTTAATAATAAAGTGTCATGCGCGCACACTCATATAACCATATATAAATTATGCATTTATTATCA